CGCGGCCCCGTCTCGAGTTTTCCCGCGTACCTCGTAAATCAAAGTCATCCGCGCCGTGGCCGGCTCAGGAAGGAAGCCGAGGTCTTGTGCGTCTGGCCGCGCGTTCGTCGAACTGACGCACCCTGCCTGATTCATATTCAGCGAAAGCTGAACATGCGGGAAGCTGCGGCGACCGCACACCGGTCGGAGACTTGACAGAAAAACCGGTCTAGGCGAGATTAAAAGTTCAGATAACGCTCCGATGTGTCACAAATGATCTAATCACATTCGTCCATCTGGTTTTAGCGTTCATCAATAATTATAAACCGTCTGCGAAGAGAATACGTGATTAGTATCCTTCGCTTTAACCGTTCACACGTTTATTGTTATGTCTCGCAATTAACATTCGCCGCCTGCTTCGCTGACGCATTAATTCAATTTCACTTCGCTGGCACTCGGATCAGTTCTTATTTCTCTTTGACTTTTTAATCACCGCTTGATTCGGAACTCGAGCGAGGAAGAAATCCGACGCCTTTGCAGACTGCTCCCGACGATGCGCATACCGTATCAAATGTTGCGAGCTACGTATAATCTATCTTTTCTATGGTGCTCACCGTGCGTTCACCCGTGATGCGATATTCTCGCCATAAGTGCCGATTAGAGTGGTGCTCCCTCAGCGTATAAACATGACTTACGCGTACACAAGTATATTCGCGCATACATGTGTATTACTCGAGGAGGTGTAGAAGGAGACGCAGCTACGCGTCCCACATACCTTTATGAATGACGTTGCGGTAACGAAAGGCGCGCGTTTTTTTCACGATAAAGCGTATATCCGACAGTCGCGTGTCGCTTTGCACGTACGATATCTATAGATATTTGAGATGCGTCATCGCTAAATAATGCTCTCTCGCTCTCTCTAAGAGTTTGTAGTGCTCATATTTATATAGAAACTTGATCTAGCTTCTTGAATAATTTGTAAATGAACGTTTTGTGAACAAAGAAAAATCAAAAGGTACAGAAAATTTTTCAAAAAAGTGTATTTAAAAAAATACAGGTATAAAAATAACTTTAACTTTCGACATAATTGCCACTGCGTTCGACACAAGTGGTCCAACGGCGAATGAACTGGTGTAACCAAACGGCCTTCTGAAGAAAATAATTTCTGTTGCATTCTCAGCCACGCATTTACGCTTTTTTTTCTACCTCGACACAAAACATTTGCTTTTTGGAATTTTTTTTTGGGTGGTCAAAAAATATAAAAGGCGACAAATTGAGGTTTTATAATTGGATGGTGCAAAATTTCAAATTTTTGCTGATCCTCGTGGTTTCAAATGCGTTGACAAGCACTTGCGATCGCGCATCGTAAAAAAAGATCATGTTGATCCTATGCTGACCCTATTCTTGTCCATTTTACCTTCAAGAGTTTCGATAAACAAGATCAGCTACTTTCTGAACCACTCTCGAGAAGTTGAAACCAATATTATCCGAAAAGCAAAGTGCGGTTAAAAGAGGAATCACTTTCAAAGACCGCATATGACTGTTTACACTTTACAATCTCAATTTGCAATTTTTAAATTTTTTTATCACTCAGAAAGGTAAATGTTTTTCACCTGACACGGAGATGAAAAAGCTGTAAATACGTGGCTGAATAGCGCAATACAAATCATTTTCTCTGAAAAAAGATACATCAGTGCGTTCGTCATTGGATCGCTTGCGTTAGATGCAATGGTAATTGTATGAAAAATTAAAATTGTTTTTACGCTTGTATCTTTTGTTTAAGTACACTCTGTTGAATAAGTTTCTTCACTTCTTGATTTTTCTTCCTTCAAAGCACCTTGTCTCGGTGCCTACCTTTAACATTTCACAATCGAAATGAAAATTACTTTGCCCCGACTAAAGTAGTAGTTATGAACTTTCTGCAATATGTGGAGGCAATGACACGCGAATTGTAATTTTTTATCCCGCAGCCTTTCCTCACCACGTATTTATCTTCGTGCGTGCGTGCACTTTTGAACGCACGTCGGCGCTCTCGCTTTCCGATACGAGATCCGCGAAGTCAGCCCGAATGGCTCGTATCGGGCACCTCGCTCCCACACTCGCCCGCACGACGATGATATTGCGCTCTTTCTCTCGGTACCATTCGCGTCTCTTTCCGCTCGCGCGATATTATGCCCCCTCGCCTGCGCTCTCGCTCCTTTTCTCCTTTCCGTCTTCCACTCGTCGGCCCAAAGAGGCGAAGGTGGAGGCTAATCACCACGCAATCACCGCTCCCGGTGCGGCTGAGACTCCGACCTGTTCCCAGAAAGCAGCAACCGCCTTTTGCCGCCCTGGGGCATTCACCACCACGGTACCGGTGCTGCAAAACCAACAATCTTCGTCCTGTGCCGCGGAAAAAAAGACCACTGCCCACCCCGCGTCCCGTTCCCCGCCCCTTTTCACCAAATCACCGGAGGGCCGACCGATCGTCCGACTACTGGCATCCGGAGAATCCATCCATTAGAATAGCCGCGATTCCACCTCGGCGGGATCTATCGCGAGACGAGGAAGGCATGTATTAAACCCGCGGAGGCTGCTACCCCGGTCGACACGACATTCGCCCGGAATGCGAATGCTTTGAAAAGAAGTATATTTTGGGATAATTTCCCCCCCGTATGAATGATGGACGTTTCGTTCTGAAAACGCGTTTTGAATCGACGTTATCGCGTGTAATGAGAGTGCATCGTAACAGCGGGATGAGGCGCCTGCTCGAATAATTGCATGTGGTGAAATCGTAAGGCAATAACGTGGTTATTGCGTGCGATTTAGTGGTCCATAGGTGGTAAGCCGCGATTACAGGGATATTACGCCAAAAGAAAACTGCATCGCACTCGTTCTAGAGCTTTGCTTTACGTTTTTTACGCTAATTATGATCTATTCATTCTTTTTTGCACTGAAAATATATCTAAACGATGCTCTCTAAAAATAATAATAGTCTCTGTTATACAGCAGCATATGAAAATAAAGTTAAATCTTAATTCATAAATTTGTGAATTAATGTACAAATAAAATTTTCAGTCGTTCGTGAAATTTTCATGTTTGTTTCACCGGCACATTGCGAAATTAAATTGCAACCAGTCTAAAATGAATAATTTTGCATAAAGATACCTTGCTGCTCTTAGAAGCAGAATAATACATGTAGAAAATCAGTAACTGGTAGATAAGAACGTAAATTGATATAGTTGGGGGCGATGGTCGTTAGGAATACATATAATATTGGATGCGCCTCCCTTTAGCGTACGCCCACGCGATGTGCGTAGCCGACGATACAGGATGCTTGAAACTGCTAGCTCGGGGCAACTCCGGGAGAAGAGGAGGAGGTGTGAGTTTACGATAAGACACACGCACACGGCCGCACACACTGGCTTCCACTGGCGTCTCGCGCTAACAGACTAATCGAATTGGGACTTATTGTTGCGTCGCCTCATTCGTAATCGCGTCGCGTGTAGAAACTTATACTTTTTTTTGTTTTGATACCGTAAGATATTTTCAACAAATCAATAATAAAGTTGACTGTTATTCGCAGTAATTATCTATATTGAGAGACCTAATCGTCTAATTGAAAGATCTGATCGCAAGTGCACATATAAAAATTAGCATAAGTGGTACTCGATCAAATCTATAGTACGTGGAAACTTGATATCTTATCACTTCTTATCGCCTCTTTGTATTTTCTAATTACAGTGACAGAAAAGACAAAGAGGTGTGGCAAGCTCTGTGCTATACTTTAAGCTATCATTAAAGCGTCAGCTATTAATGCTAAGAAACACATGGTGCACGCGTGAATCACATAGCGCGTGTGCGCTTTCGCCCTATAATGACCGCGCCACGTACGTTAGTTCACGTGTGAGCGACGTGCGAATTGTACGAACTATCGTATCGAATTGCCATTACGCCTCGCACCTGAGAGCGTTCGCACCGTCGCTTCGAATGGATTTAAGCAGGTTTTCTGCAGGCACGCACGAACAATCAACGCGCGTTAATTGCCCACGCAGTGGCCCATGAAGTCTTTGTCGGTCTTTACAGCACTCCTACTACTGTTAAACATCGTGGTCGCTGAATAGCATCGATCGAAAATTGATTCGACGCGATGCGTTTGCTACGTGCTGACAAGTATTACACGACATCATTCAATACGACGCTATTCTTCGTCAAATTTATTGTTTGCGTGATTGCGCATGAAAGATCAAAGTATCATATTCTTCCGCTTAAACTTTAGATTACGATAAATTGAAAGTTTTTGTTTTCTTTTTCCTCTTATTTTTAATAAAGCCCTTTGCACTAAGAAGTTTAACTTATTATTACTACAAAATCACTACGACATCGTGTGCAAAAAAAATTTAAAAGGTCCTCACATCCCTGAACAAATTTGCAGCGCGTTGAATTACGAGGAAAGTCATAGCTGTGACGTATAATTACGTAATGCATCTCGATTTTCCGATTTGCAATCTATTTCCTAATGCGGGGGCGACGATTGGTCGTTGTTAAATTGATGCGTAGGTGCGATGGTAGGAACCTACGTTTCCGTGTAGGTACGCCGAATGTGAAAGTCGGAAGGATCTCTCGTCTTTCCCATTCCCTCTTCTCACGCGCGTTTATTATTCTGGCGTGCAAACTGGTACGCGACCTTTCTTCAATCGCGATCCGTTGACTTTATCGGATTTAGCTGCGAATTATCTACAATCGATTGAATGTGAACTTTGGCGAAGATAAATATTATCTTGTACCGCGGTATATATATACTTGTTGCAACTACCACGTCAATATTTTACTCCGCTAACATCTCAATTGACTTAACAATAGAGAACTCAATTATGAAATACGTCTTTTCAACGTCGTTACATTTAAATTAAAATAAATAATGCAATATCTCTGTGTTGAGATACGAAACGCAAAATAGTTACACAGATTTTAATCATTTTATTCTACAATTAAATGTTTTCTAGTAGGTCTTTGACGTGGATTTGCATTTTTGGTTACAGGTTCGGTGGTCATGATTTTGAGCTTCCTGAGCAATGGGATTGTCTCGGAGAAAATGACATCTCCTACCGAAGTGGTTTCGTACGATCTATTCGACCCGGCTGATTCCGAACCGTGGCTGACGCCCTGCGGCCACGTTATACCGGAAGTGTTGAAAAATTCAAGTTCAAAAACGGAAATAAAGGACATCTTGAAAAATGTGCAGTTGCAACTGCAGAGCGCCAATGCGAAATACCAAACCGATATCAATACTGTACGTGAAGTTTACTCGCAGGTAAGAGACGAAAGTGCTTTGCTCGCGACCGCGATTCCGTAATTAATTGCAGCGCGGCGTCGGGGTAAAACCGCGTGGGCAGTCGCTCGAGGGGGATTCGCACGTGCGCACAATGCAACGTCGGGCAGTGTACAGTCCTACTTTCCGTCTGCAATTTGCATTGGTTACGATGTGCCACGCAGAGATTCAGCGTAATTACTTTTTCTATAGTCCTGCGACGCGCGTTCCAGACACCTCGCGGATTTGATGACAAATTGCTTCCGTCCTGTTGCGGAACGAACGCACCGCTCATTCATTAAAACCGTCATTATCGCAAATGTCATTAAATGTTGGCCGAAGATAAGTGAATGCATTTACATAAGAGGCTTTACGCGTTTATAACGCCGTTGTATAACGAGATGATAGATGTTATTGTTTGGTCTATCGAGAGAGTCTAAAATCAAGTGTGTGTGTGTGTTTATGCCGGCGGATCGCGGTGACTTGGATAGAGCGATATATTTTGTTTATCGATTTTTATCACTTCAAAGCTTACTCTGGGATATGCATGACCGCATTCCAAGACAGATTTGTGATACTGTAATTTTTCATACTGTATACGCGTAGTACTATATCGGCATGAATATATACGTGCAGGCTTAGCTATATTCCGTTCTGGGATCAGCAGCAGAATCGGAATCGCTTGAACATTCCATATATGTCACAGCGGATAATCCATTAAATAATTTATAAATGCACACATAGTTAGCTAGCAATGTAGTGTTACATTAGTTATGCAGTATAACGGCATCATACCATAATTCCGAATGAAATTTATCATAAATTACACATATAGTAAGAGCGCGTATAAATTATGTACAACTCTACGTGGCACAGCTGTAAATATTTTATAAAAATAAAAGATTCTTGTAACTTCAGAAATTAATCACGTTAAAACACTCGGTGATATACAATTACGGTGTACAAGACTAAATGTTATCTCATCTTTCTGTCACAGGTGCGCAGAGTGCTGCAGAAACCTAAGCAGCACTACAGGTTGAGTTGGTTGCCCAAAAACCAATGGAGTTGGTATAAAAATAAAATCGCGTGCTTTGATGATAAGCGGAAAGCCAAATTTATGCTTCCACGTTTATACAAAACAATGCAATTGTACGCTATTACGTTCTATCAACTTCTGCATTTTCATCCGAATTCAGCTCACACCAGTAGCACTAACGTCACGCTAATCCGAAACGAGATTGTTAACAGGACGCACATGTGGAGTCACATAGTAAGTTGGCGTATTTCTAACATAATCTGTGTCAACAACGTTAATATCAATTGAAATTTGCATTTCCATCGCTCGTTTGAGTCGTAAATGAATCGTAATCAAATGAATCATTCAACAAGTATGAGATATAGATTTATGAATATCGCATTACCTCGATTTACGATCATGAAGCAAGCTATCATAAAATATACGAATGTGTAACGGCAAGCAATATCGATGTTTCGCGAGTGAAAGTAAAGACGCGTAAAAGTAACATTTCGTTTGCACGATTGCAGGTACTGTGCGAAGTCGAGACCAGCGTCGAAACTCTGGACATAACGGTAGCCCTTCCGCACAATAAGCGCATCGTGACGGAGCACCCGCATTACCAGAGTAAGGGCGATCTAACGCGAATGCTGATTCAGGATTGGGGCATATTCAATTTTTATAAATCTTTCCTCAACGAATGGCTGGAGGCCTTCAACGACGCCACCGCAGAAGGACCCGGCATTTGCAACCGCGAAATGAAGTTGAATCCTAAAGTAACCAATAACAAGAAGTCAACAAGGGGCAAAAAAATGTCAAAAATGAGAAAATTGACGAAATTGAGCACAAAGTACGTGCTTGCGACGATCTTTAATCAAAACACTTCTTTGCCATCCTTGCTTGAAAACCCTCAGAAAGAATCTATAAGAAAGAAATTGTTAACGAAGAAACCTATGCGCAAGACTCCTCTGAGAAAAAGATTTCCGAAGAATAGATTGATGAGGAACAAACGAAAAAAACTCTCAGCACAAGAACAAACCTAATGTGAATCTGAGGTAACAAGCTTGAACGGAATCAATTTGAACGAAAAGGTTAGCCTTCTCTAATACGATCGACACGATCTATCGAAGACATCGCTCTATGCAGCGACAAATCACATATTGTCATACTAACTTATAACTTATATATCTATTTCATCGTCACAATCATTTGTTTAGATAGGTTTAGTCGTGTTAGTATTTCTCGCGGATTTGCCAATAGAATTGTGCCCACTATCGCGTTAAGATTAAATATCTCGACAGCCGCGCACATGATGAACAATTGTTTAATTCGATAGAAGTCTTTCAGGCTAGTGTTGAGCCAACAGATCCCGATTATAGCGATAGAAATACTTTACGGACAACACGGCTGCGCTCAGTATTAAGAGATCTACTTTAGAACAGTATTACATCTAACAACATACATAATATCGATTATGTTGATAAAATCATTTTGAAGTATCCAAAGCACACTTGAATCGATTAGAGTGAAATATCGATTATAGATCGCGAAACTTTTAGCTATATCGTGTGCAAAAGAAATATCAAAAGTCTGTTTCTTTTTATTCGTAAGCTATTCAACGAAGACAACGATAAAAAATAGTATGGCATCGAAATACGGATCGGAAAGAAAAAAAGAGAGAGAATAAAAGAAAGAAGGGGAGAAATGCGTTTGTTATAGGTCCTAGAACAAACACTGTGAAGACAATCATAAGGAACAAAATTCAAGCTTTAAAGAGAGAGAAAGACGGAGAGAATAAATGTACAGACGCATTTCGCACGTTTTGCGCACATTTATATTAATATACCAAGATAGATTACGCTCACCACTCGTTAAACGCGCGCGCGCGCGCGCGAACGCAGACCTGAAAACTCGATTGAATCGACGATATCCGCGCAGGTATCGAGATCATAACAGGATCAACGACGAGATCACCGAGAGTTTAGGTACGCGCAACTTATTTATTCTAGCTTTAACTTAAGCGGAGCTATATGGCGAGAGCTTAATGTTGTTCAGCTGTGATACTCCGAGCGTACACGGACGTACAGAGTTCCTACATTTATACATAAGTGCGTAACGCACATACGTACGTGCGCTAATGTAGATAGGTATTGTACGTTAGACACGTACCATACGTACTTAGACGTAGGTGATTCTCTCCTCCTTTCCGATGTGTTTACCGTAGAATCTCGCCTTGTGTCGCGCGAACATGACAATTTTACCTTTTGTAGTTAGTCCGTTGACCGCCGCGTCGTACGCGCGCCAACGACGCGAGAAACATTTCAGCCGTAGTCCGAGGATTCCGGTTTCACCATTCCTTCCGTCTCACCTTAGATTAAACGCGCATGACAATGCGCATAACTAGCCGATAATGAGGGACCATTAAGGATTTTAAGAGTGTTTTGCGAATCTTGATTTTTACCTGCGCGCCAACATGTAACGATATGCGGCGTCTTTCTCGCGATAGATTAAAATATATTTATATAATGTAGATCCGAGAGAGAGAGAGAGAGAGAGAAAGAGAGAGGTTTTTTTTCTTTTATACTGGAACAGTACTTGAGTATGTTCGTATCTTAGTGGT